CTTTCAAGAGATTCCAGAGAAAGAGGGGAAGATGCAGATCGATGGAAGATGGGGATAAGGAGTAGCGACCGATCACAGGCACCGCACTGGGACTTGGGAGCCGAAGGTAGAATCTGGAATCAAACTCGAGGTTTAAGGGTTATTAAATTTTCCGGGTTTACCATCGGCAGGTGAGTGGGATTCCACAAAGGAGACCCAAAGTCATACGCTCAACCAACTATAATCCCAATTCCCTGGTAAAATTATTATTTCACCATCAATCTTGGCATTTACGATAAATGTTACGGGCTCATTCTCCGTCATTCTCTCCGAGGAGTTCTTGTGGAGGAAATATTAATCAAGAAAGCGCGTTCGGAAATGTCAGCAGCAACGTGTAACTTGTAGGATGCTCGGCACTTGACGCTGACGGACTCAACGTCAATATGAGGCGGGCCAAACATCGTTGCCAGACCCAAATTGTGCTGACAATCACGACTTTTTTCTGAATAATGCAGTGTTGAGTATCTAAATTTCACCCAGTTCAACAACCTTACCGGGCAAATGGTTGCCAGATCGTGGCAAAAATGATAATTTTCCTATTTTCAGATAATGTTAAAAATGCAAATTTATTGGCACGATCTGGCACCTTCAGGATCAAGGAATTTTAACGCTCTTTCCACTCAATCTGCGAATTCAATGATAAATGCTTACAACTTTCGGTGCGATGAAATGATCGTACCGGCGCGCGTTTGAATGGGAGCCCAAAATACGGACTTGGACTCGTATTTCGTGGGTTAATATTGCTCAAAAAAATCGGGGAAAATTCCTGTGAACTCTGTGCACTCTCTAGTTTCCAAAACTGCAAGAATTACGAATTGCTGAACAAGCTCATTGGATTGATTTTGTATAACTTGAGAGTATGAAGAAGCCAGGAATGTGGCACACTGTCAAAGGCTTTACGATAGTCTATATAGGCCATATGGAGGTTGCGGGTTCTTTTGTGTGCTTGCCGTAATACTACTGAGTTGATGATTAGCTGTTCTTTTCAACCCATATGATTTTTGCGGCATCCTTTTTGCTGTTCGGTCATTATTTGGTTTACCTCGACGTGTTTGCTGATCTTGTTAGCTATACATGCTGTAATAATCTTGTCCAGCGTTGATAGGCAAGTTATTGGCCTATATTGAGAGGGATCTTGCGTATTCTTACTTTTCGGTTTCAAGAACGTGATTCCTTGGGTGAGGAATTGCGGGATTCCCGATTCTCCACTTATCACCCTTGTGGCTTGGTCTGCAAGGAGTTGGTGCAGGGTGGTAAACTTCTTGTACCAGAAATTCTGCACTCGATCTACTCCCGGGTGTTTCCAATTATGTAAATTCTTGATTACTTCCTTCAGTTCGATGATATTGAGTTTGACTGCCTCGTCTTCCATCGCGGGTAGTTGCTCACTTGAGCGTTCTTGTTCTTCCAATCACTTCGCTTCGGTGTTATGTCTCTTATTTTGGGACCATATGGACTCCCAGTATTCGGTTAAGGCTTCTTTCGTAGGTAGCTCCTTAGCTGTTTCGTCTACTTTATTAAGGCTCTTGTAGAATAGCTTCTCGTTAGTGTTGAAAAGGTAATTTTGCCTTTTTCTCGCGGTACATGCTACGTATCTACGTAATCGTTTTGCCCTCGCAGCAAGCTTCTGCTGGATGGTGTCGATACATTCTTTCATATTTTCATTCTTCCCTCTGTACTTGTCATGCAGATCGTATCGCTTTAAGATTGCTCTCACTGCTCTGTCAAAACTGCCTGGCGTTTTGCCTCGGGAGGCTTCTTTGAGTCTGCTTAGATTGGCTAGTAGTGCTTTGACTAGCTTTCCCAACCGGGATTGCCACTTGGGTTTCGTTGTTCTTCTTCAGGGCGTGGATTCGTTTTCAAGTCTGATGAAGTTATGTCTACGCGCGACGGTTAGCGCAGCGACGTACACAATCGTTTGTGGTTCTTCGAGGTTGGAGCTCGCGTTTGCGTACCGCGGGACCACTTCTTTGTTCAGCTTGTGGACGGTCTGATAGATTTTCTTGGACATATTCATTCTCGGGATCATCGGCCTTCCGGCCGGGTCAGAGCCGGCGTATTTTGTTAATGTTTCGTTGAATAAATAATCTAATGCTGTTAGCTCTGAGACTCAGAGCTAACAGCATGTCAATGAGACGCATGAATGAGACTCAGAGTCTGAGTCCTCATTCCGAATGTCTTCGTTTACATTTTCGTTTAGCCCTGGTTCGTCTCCTACAGTTTCTGCCTGTAGCTCTCCAGCTTCTACAGGTACCTGCCCGTGGCCGTGCTGGCTGTGGTTATCTGGTTCTTCCTGACCCACCTGTTGCTGCCCTTCCTGGCTGTTGTTGATACCTGGTTGTTCGAGGCTTTCTGCCACCTCTTGTTTTATTTTGTCTATCACTGCCTGTGGTACCAGTTTATTGGCAACTATCACTCTACGTATGTCTGCAACCCGTTGTTCTGTTACATTGCCTTGCGGGTACCGTTCTATAAATTTCTGATGTAGTGTAGTTCTGTATCCTATGATTTGTGTTTCTGCTTTTGTTACTTCAAAGTACGTTCGTATGCCGAATTCGTTCAAGTCGTAGGTCCATTTCATACGTTGACGTGGTTTTCCCGCTTTTGTGGTCCCCTTTGCGGGTGATACACGTTCAGCGGCAGCAGTTTGGGGCTCTTGTGCACTGCTTATACAGGGTGTGGCTGTAGCTGATTTGTCGACCAGGTTTTGCCTTTCATGGCCGCCATTGTTTCGCGAGCTGTCATTCCTGGCGATGGCACTTGAATGGTCCGCGGGCAGCGGTGGATTATTGAGGTTGTTCCTCTTGCTTCCTGTCTCCATTGTGGGCGTTTATAAGGAGCAACTAATCTGGTGGTCGATATTTCTGTAATGAGGTTTGTTGTAGAATTCCATTTTGTTCCCACGAGTAAAGGGGGATTTTAAAAGTCCACCCAGCAGCCTCTACGCCAGGTAAGGCCCCTTTTACTTCAGGAGGTGGCTCGTTATCCCGAAGGCACCGTTTTTAGACACCAGCAGAAGCGCTCTGGTGCCAAGAGACCCGATGAGCACGGTTCGCGTCACACCCCGGGTTGGGCTTTTCAATAAGTGCTTCTGGCCACAAAGTGCGTGACTGAGAAGTGACTCGGGAAAGGAGGTGCGTGAATACCCAAGACCATAGACAGTGCTCCCTGCTTATCCCTGCTTATTACTATTATCATTATTATTATTTTTCAGAAGTACTTTTCTCACAAAAATATGTTTGTGGAAAGAAATTCATTGAAAGACAGACCGTAGCCAAGTCTTTCAAAGCTAGAGCCTTTTAAAATTCCTAAAATTTGATTTAAAAACGCTAAAATTTGATTTGAAACTGCTAAAATTTGATTTAAAATTACTAAAATTTGACTTAAACTTGCTAAAATTTGACTTAAAATTGCTAAAATTTGAATGTAAAAATCACAAAAAGGTGTTAAAATCGAAAAAAAGTTGTTAAAATCGTGAAATTAAAAATTTAAAAAAGATTGTTAAAATTAAAGAGCATAAACCATAGGTTAGCAGTCGGCCACATTATTAAAAATAAAAATACAGTCACTGCCCTGAGTTTAGGAAAGATCTAGTGATATTACAGGTGTGCAGGATAACAGCTTTCTGGCTTTGGGTGTGAACGTTTTCACCTAAGTGGAGCTGCTTCAGATGTCTCAGGAAAGAATGAGGAGTGATCCCCGTGACGGATATTATAAATGGTACAATAATTACTTCTTTAAGCTTCCACAGTCGCTGTATTTCAGATGCTAAGGGCAGATACTTTTCGATCTTATCTCTAAACTTAGCATCTACATTGGCATCAGCAGGGACTGAGAAATCCATTAGGTGAGCAATGCCCTGATTTTTATCTAGAAGGACCATATCTGGCCTATTGTGCGGGATGGTCTTGTCGGTATAGATGGTAAAGTCCCAATATAATTTATAGGCATCATTTTCCAGCACTGACTCAGGATTATATTCATAATACGGAGGCACACTGTCCAACAGGTTACGATGTAATGAAAGCCCTTGGTGGATTATTTTGGCTACTGAGTTATGTCGGAGGTGACTGTCGGATGCTAGTGTCGACGTCTATATCCATATTTTCTCCGTGGATGTATTTACCTTTCTTGAAGGTTACCTTGGCACACTTATCTAGGCCAAATTTCATACCTATGTCGTCACTGAATTTTTTCACCATCTTGAGTTGATTTTGCAGTTTCTCGTCGCTGCTGCTGAACAGTTTCAAATCATCCATATACAGGAGGTGCGTCAGTTGTTTATGGCCTGCCTTGATGTTATATCCATTGTTCATGTTGTTTAGTCGTGTAGAGAGGGGTATTAATCCAACGCAGAGCAGAAGGGGGGAGAACGCGTCCCCTTGGTAGATTCCTCGTCTTATTTAAATTTCAGAGGTGACAATGGACCACTGACAGGGTATGAAATTCAGCATTCTGATACATGTTTCTCAGCCAAAATTTCACGTAGAATACGTTGCACACAACGAAAATTGCCAAAATCAACTCCTGACAAAGATATTTATTGATTCTTGATGCGTGAATTCAAACCACCCGCTCATGAAAACTCAATGCTCTACGTGATTCACATCGCGCGCTAAACGTTATCATGACAGTCTCTGCGATATAAAAATCTAGCGACCTCAATCTTGACGCTTTGGCTCAGTTATAGCAAATTGCTAATAGTTTGAACAACACATGGTGGGAAATGAACATTGCTCGATTGAGGAGCCTGCTGAAACCGTTGTAGAGGGCGATTTGACTCAAGTAGAGCTTTGAGTTTCTTGTGAGCGGGCAGTTCAAATTCCTCGTAACCAATGTGAAATAAAAACGTTAATATCTTCGTTAGGAGTTGCTTTCAGTAATTTTCGTTGTGTGAATCTTTTTCTACGTGAAATTCTGGTTAAGAAAGATGGATCAGATCGCTTAAATTCGTACCTTGTCTAGTGGTCCATTGTATCTGTTTTTCCTCTTAGTTGGATGCATGTTGACCAGTGCTCCATCATGTTCTTACAGGCGTTTACTATATTCGGGTGCACTCCCATGAGTTCCAGTGCACGGATGATCCAGCTGTGGGGCATGCTGTCGAAGGCTTTTTGGTAGTCCAGCCATGCGATCGATAGGTTCTTCTTGTTCTTCCTGCAGTCCTCAATGATGGTTTTGGATATTAAGAGTTGGTCAAGGCACCCTTTAGCTCCTTTGCGGCACCCTTTCTGCTCTATCGGGAGTAGTTTGGCACTTTCTAGGTACTTGTGCGTTTTTCCGGCCATAAGTGCCGTGAAGATCTTATACGTTATGTTGAGGCAGGTTATGGGCCTTTAGTTTTTGGGATGTGCCGTTTCTCTATTCTTTGCTATTAGATATGTAGTCCCTTTGGCTAACCATGGTGGGAATTCTTTCCCGTTCAGTAATTTATTGTGCTCGGCTGTTAGGTACTTATGGATGCTAGGGATTTTTTTGAACCAGAAGCTTTGTATCTTATCTGGGCCAGGTGCTTTCCAGTTTGCAAGGTTTTTTATGGTAGTTATCAGTTCATCATCATCGAGATCTGTCCATTCCATTAGGTTGTTTGTGACCTCTGTGTCTTTGATCCACCCAGCCTCCGAGTTGTGCTGAGTAGGGACTCCGTAGATTCCTTTCCAGAACTCTTCCACCTTTTCTTTCTCTGGGGTTTCACCGATGTCAGAGGAGCCATCTTTGATGTTCCTGTAGAAGCTTTTGCAGTTGGTTTCGAAGCTTCTGTTGTGAGAGAATTGATTTGATCTTTTCTGGTATCTTCTTATTCTTTGGCTAAAGACAGCAATACGTTGCCACAGTTGCTCCATTACATTGTCTATACTGCTTTCTTCTCCTTCCGCGGTGTATTTATCCAGGATTGACTGGACTTTGTGGGTTGTCTGTTGTCCTTTTTCCTTGCTCGATATTTTGAAGTTGGCTAGTACTGAAAGGTTCCTCCTCAGATCTTGGATTCTGAACTCAATTCTTTTTTGCCATAAGGGCTTACTTTCTTTCTTGTTTATTTTAGTTCCTTTTGGCCCGTTCGACTCGTCACTGATTGTGAGGGCTGCAGCGTAGAGCAAGCGGTTGATTTTCCACAGGTCGAGATTTTCTACGCTCTTAAGCATACTTTGTACTTCATTGTTAGTTTATTATTATGATCTCGTTATTTATTATCATCATCATCATCATCATCATCATCATCATCATCATCACCATCATCACCATCATCACCATCATCACCATCATCACCATCATCACCATCATCACCATCATCACCATCATCACCATCATCATCATCATCATCATTATTATTTTTTTTTTCCCCTCACAGGATTTTTCCTGGTATTAAGAGCCCAAGACGAGTCAAAGACTAGAGTCTTGGGTCCTGTTTATGCCCTAACAATTAAGATTTTCAAGAATAGAAAACTAAAAACCAAAAAAGAAATTAGAGAGATGAAAGAGAGGGGACTATTCCATGTTAAGGAAACTCCGAACTATATTGCAGGTGCTGAGAATAACTGACTTCTGCATGGTGTGGAGAAGGTGATCCGGGAGTTTCAGCTCTTTTAGGTGTTTAATTAGGCTCTCCGGTACGACTCCTGTGACGGACATGATAATAGGCCTAATATAGACAATGTCCATGGCCCAAATTCTCTTAATTTCCACAGAGAGAGGCATATATTTTGATATCTTTTCCTCATACTTCGACAACAAATTGTGTCCGTTAGGGATGCTAAAATCCAAGAGCTGCACAACACGCG